TCTTGAGCTGATGGGAGCAGGAGAAGAAACAACACAAAGCAAAAGGGGAGGTGAAAACCTGGCCAGAGGCTTCCAGCTGCAAGAGGAGCCCGTGGAGTCCTGGATTTTCCCATCCCAGGCTGGAATTCCAGCGGGTTTCGCTTTTGAAGCGGGATCTGGGCGATGCAGGACATCCCCAGCCCTGTGCAGGGTGGTTTCAGCTGCAGGGAGGAGGAAAGGAAGGTGCTGAGGTGAGGCTGGAGGAGAGGAGGTGACACCAGTCCCACCTCACATCCCGACATTCCGCACGTTTCCAAGTTTGGGAATGAGTCCTGGTCTCCCGTGAATTACCCCAGGGTGCTCCCAACACCCCTCCTGCTCCTCAGGATCAGGGCAGATTTTTTTAAAAAAATCTCTTTTTTAAAAAAAATAAATCTGCAGGATGGCTGCAAATTATTTTAATTATATATTATAATAATATATATATATATATAAAAATTTCTGGGAGTTCTGTGCTTTTCTTTCCCTGGAAATGCATCAAACATTGAGAGGTGGAGGGAAGGGCTCCTCCTAAACACCCCTGGATACCCTGGAAACCTCCCCGGGAATGGGGAGGGAGGGAACCACGCAGGCACCACGTGGGAATGGCAGGGCTCAGCTTTTCCTTGGGATTGCTGCTGAGAGGGGAATTTCCTGCTGGAAATCTGGGAATTTGTGCGACGGGGAAAACGCCACCATAAGGAACTTCTTCCTTCGTGAAGCCTCGTTTACAAAGCCCCTGCAGAAGGCTGAGAAATGTTTTTGATTGGGATGAAAGCAACAGAAATAAACCCAAAGAAAGGAGAAAATCCGGGTTTATGGCATCCATTTGGCCCTTAATGGATTCATTCCCGCGTTTCTCGCAGCCTTTAACATTTGGGCCGGTCATAAAGCGCCTTTTCCTCCTCTGCTGCCCTGGATCCCTCCCCAGATGGCTGCTCCCAGCCTCCCACGCCAGCTGACCCTTTGGAAAGTCCTTTCCCAAAGCTGCTGCCTGCTGCTCCCTCCATATCCATACAAAAGCTTTACACTCCCAATATTTTCTATGCATCCTGCAGCACAATTCCTCCTGCCTCCCATAAAAGCGTTTCCAGGCTCCGAGACCATTCCGTGTGTGTGCCACAGGAAAAAACAACTGCAGCCCTGTAAACACAGACACTTCCTGCCCTGCTCCACGCAAACAGCGCCCTGACCCAAATTCACCCCCTTTCCTGCAGAAATCCTCGCGGCTTTACCACGTTTCCAGCGCAGTGTAAATGTCAGCCTGCTCTCCGTGGGGCTGGGCTGCTCCAGGAGACATTCCCAGCCGGACCCCAGCCTGCTCTGCTCTGGAATTTCAATCCTCTCATACACCTGGGCTGGATCCCTGGGGCTCCACGTGTCTGACACCAGCAGGAGCTGGCAGCAGAGCTCTGTGGCCTCTGGAATGTCACCATGGCTGTTCTGGTGTCACAGGGAAAGGAAGTGAGAAGGAACTGCTGCTTAAAAGGGGGGGAAATCACTTTTTTAAAAAAAAAATTAAAAATGAATCTGCAGAATGGCTGCAAATTAATTTCTGTGCTTTTGTTTCCCTGGAATTCATCAAACATTCAGAGGTGGAGGGAAGGGCTCCTCCTAAATACCCCTGGATACCTCTGGCAGCGTGTGAAGGAACTGTCCCCTCTGTCCCCTCTGTCCCCTCTGTGCCACCCCACAGCTGGCCAGGTGTGCAGGCAGCATCAGGGGAGGGAATTTGGGGTCAGCTCCGCATGCTGGGGGTCTCTGCCAGCCCTGGGGACGTGTTTGGGACCGCTGTCCCAGCCCCACGGGAGCTGTTTGCCCCCAGCTTGGCCTCCCAGGGCTTTCCCAGGATGCAGATCCAGGATCCTGCTGCCAGAGGGCTGGGACAGAGGTGCCAGTGCCACAAAGTGCCACTGCTGGTGGCCTCGGGGCTCAGCCCCAGCTCTGGGATGGGGCACTCGTGTCCCAGCGGCTCAGCCCGTGTTTGTAAGGAATAAATCCGTTTAAAATGTCATTTCCCTCCTTTTCTGACACGGGGATGGAGCCGAGCTCTGGGCGCTTTCCAAGCCCCATCCTTCCTCCTGTGCTTCCCTGCTGGCCCATGCCGGGATAAGGCACAAACCGGGAAATGTGGGGGTCTGAGCTGGGCCGGACCCCCGCCCCAGAGAGCAGCCGGGAGCATCCCGGGGGGAGCGGGGCAGCGTGCCCGGGGTCAGGGAGTGCTGCAGACGGGAGGCACACGCCCGGCGGGGTGGCAGCAGGAGCTTTAATGATGGTTTTATTCCGGTAATCAGCGAGCAAATAACGCGGCCACGCCTGAGAGGGACCGGCTGGGCCAGCCCGGCAGGTCCGGGGCTGAGTCAGGAGCGGCAGAGAGCGGCTGCTGGCCACGGGAACCTCGGCACCCTGGGCAGGGCACGGAGCCTGGCCCGAGCTTGGGGTGACTCAGGAGCGGGACAGACCCGGGACTGCCCTGGGACAGACCTGGGACAGCCCTGGGACAGACCTGGGACAGACCTGGGACAGCCCTGGGACAGACCTGGGACAGACCTGGGACAGCCCTGGCACAGTCCTGGGACAGCCCTGGGACAGTCCTGGGACAGCCCAGGACACCCCAGAGGACAGCCCTGGGGACAGACCTGGGACAGCCCTGGGGACAGCCCTGGGACAGCCCTGGGACAGCCCTGGGACACTCCTGGGACAGCCCTGGGACAGTTCTGGAACAGACCTGGGACAGACCTGGGACAGACCTGGGACAGACCTGGGACAGTCCTGGGACAGCCCTGGGGACAGCCCTGGGACAGACCTGGGACAGACCTGGGACAGACCTGGGACAGTCCTGGGACAGCCCTGGGACAGCCCTGGGACACCGCTCTGACAGCCCTGGGACAGCCCAGTACACACCAGGACACCCCAGGACATCCCTGGGACACTCCAGGACACCCCAGAACACCCCTGGGACAGCCCAGGACACCTCAGGACACTCCAGGACACCCCAGGACACCTCTGGGACAGCCCTGGTGTTCCAGTGCTGCTGGGATTTGGGTAGCAGCTGCTCTCTGAGGCTGCATTTCGCTGCTGGTTCCTCTGAAATGCTCTGTGGGTCTCTCTGGGCTGTTCCTCTGCTCCTCTGCAGCTGATGGGGGCAGGGAGATCCTGTGTAAACAGGAATCTCATCCCCAGTGGGGTCTGGGAGCTCTTCCAGCCTGCCCTGTGACCCCTGTGGAGCCTTTGCTGGGACCCCACAAGGTTTTTCCTCGGTGCCCCTAACTCTGCTTTGTCCAGAGATTCCTGAGGAGTGATCACAGAATCAGGGAATGGTTTGGGTTGGAAATGCCTTAAAGCTCATGCCATTCCACCTTTCCCTACCCCAGCTTTCTCCAAGCCCTGTCCAAGCTGGCCCTGGGCACCCCCAGGGATCCAGCCCCAGCTTCTCTGGGAAATCCATTCCCAGGGGAACAATTCCTTCCTGAGATCCCAGCGAAAGCTCCATGAATTCCTGTTCATCTGAGCTGCAGAGGGGAAAACTTTGGGCTTTCCTGGCCTCTATTTGGTGTTTTTTTTGTGAGCAGAACTCTCTAGAAAATCTGGCTCATGGGTATTTTTAGGTCTTTTCTGCTTCCCCCTGAATCATGAATCCTTTCCAGCAACCTAGGCTGGCCCTGGGAAGCCTCAGGAGGGATTTCCAGGGAGAAGAGGGGATGGAGGAGCTGCCACTCCTCCTTCCCACGAGTCTTTGGCACCAGTGAATCCCCAGCAAGCACTGGCTGCGTCCTTTTCGATAAAAAGAGAAGGATTTGTTTAAAGCAGCCAGAAAAACCCCATCCCTTAGGTGCTGTCAGCCTCAGAACGAGCCCTGGAGCCGCTCTGGACGCTCTGACACCAAGCAGGGAGGAAAACAAACAAGCAGGGAAAGCAAACCCTGCAAGGGGAAAAAAAAGCAACGTGTCTGGAAGACAACTCAAGGGCAGGCAGTGATGGGCAGGAGCGCTGCTGCCACTTCCCGTCACGTCAGGGCACAGGAAAACCGCACAGACACGGATTCAGCAGCCGGGAAGGGCTCGGGCTCGGGGATTCTGACAGCTGGAGTCCGTGGGAAGAGGGGCCAGGAACATCAGCAGTGCCCTCAGCAGGGTCTGTGCTCCCTCAGGGATGGGGAAAGGCTCTGTGCCCACAGCCACTCACCAATTCTGGGAGTCCTGCCTCAAAATCCAGCCCTGGCACCACCCTCTGTCCGTGCCTGTGGCCTCTGATCCAGTGGGGTTCCCACCTGAGGGTGAAGACCCCTGGAAAAGCCAGATTCCTGAGCCCTCTGAGCTTAGGGAAGGCCCAGCCCTGCGATTTAAGGGTCATTCGGGGGTTTTTAGGACAGCCAGAAAGAATGAAATCCATTGTGATTCAATCCTGGTGAAAGTGAGCTGGGAAAGGCAGGAGCAGATCCGTAATCCCCCTCCCACGGCTCCCAGATCCCGGGGCAGGATCCTGGGATTCCTCCCACAGCTCTGGGATAAGGCTGGAAAAATTCTGGAGCCAAACTTTTAACCGTGGTCACCACAAAACCCCGTCCCCAGCATTTCCAGGGATTCCAGCACTTCCCTGACCCACAGGAAAATCCTGGGAACAGAGAGGAGCAGAGAGAGGGGGAGATTCCGAATGGGGACTTGGAGCATCCAGCCAGTAATTCCTGATTTTTCCTCCCCACATCTGACCCGGGGGGAGAAGCCTCTGCTATCCCATGCCAGCAATTTAGCTGGAAGAACAGAGGTTTATTGCCTGCTGAGTGCTTTTCCAAACGGGACCTGGAGCCTTCACACACTTCCCTGCCTCTCCAGCATTCCCTTATCCCTCAGAGGCAGAAGGATTTTTATCTTCATCCAGCACTGGAAAAAAAACAACCCAATAAATAAAAATTAAAAAAAAAGGAGAAAATCCATAAAACCAGCTGCCTTAAGAAATAAACCTCTTTTCCCAGCCTATGCTAATAATTTACTCTTATTCCAGGTTTTATTGGAGCTCCTTTCAAGGGAGCCCCCCTCGGTAAATACACATAACTCAGGCCAGGAGGATTTCCTCCCCGCTGGGACTTTTAATGTCGAAAGCAGAGGTGTCAAACGAGCGGCTCAAAGCCCCGTGGTGGCCCCGGAGAGTTCCACATCTGGCCTGGATCTCGGTGCTTAACACATTTTAACTCTTGCCCCGAGCAGCTCCGGATTTCCCTCGGCAGCTCGAGCCGAGGGTTAGGTTTGATTTAAGGGGCTGAGAGCTGCAAGGAAAAGAAAAAAAATAAATATATAGATATATAAATAAAGAAAAAGGAGCTGTTGAAAGGTTCAAAGGGCTGCCCCGGGCTTTGGGAGAGGGCTCGGAGCTCCCCCGGAGCAATGAGCAGCATTCCCGGGATGGGCTTGGGAAAGAGGGAGGGAGCGGGGATGGCCCTGCTCGGCTTTATCGCCTATCGGCTTTATCGCGACATCGCCACACCAGCCGCTCCTGGCTCCGGCTGCCTCCAAACCAGTTCGTACCGCTGGGCTGGCACTGGGAGCACTGGGGACACTGGGAGCACTGGGGGCACTGGGAGCACTGGGAGCACTGGGGGCACTGGGGGCTCTGGGAGCTCTGGGAGCACTGGAGGCACTGGGAGCACTGGGAGCACTGGGAGCACTGGGAGCACTGGGAGCACTGGGAACACTGGGAGCACTGGGAGCACTGGGAGCACTGGGGGCACTGGGGGCTCTGGGAGCTCTGGGAGCACTGGAGGCACTGGGAGTACTGGG